CAGTTGGCGACCCATTTGACTGTGTGGGTGTCTACGCCACAGCCTTCCATTTTCTTAATGAGAACGGGGTGAGAGACAGTGTCAAAAGCCTTCTGGAAGTCCAGGAAGACTATGTCCACTGCTACCCCTGCATCTAATGATCTGGTGATCTGATCATAAAAAGCCACCAGGTTGGTCTGACAGGACCTGCTACTGATGACAGGTGTTAGTTCTCCCTGACTCTAAAAGAGAGCTGGTACTCGCCCAACACCGTGTAGCACTTCAAGATTGACAAGTAACAAGGATCAGACCACTGCTAAACATTTTTATTGGGTGCATCCTGCAGGTAAAGAATGGTGATGCTACACCTGGAATAAAAGCCCTGGACTCACAGAAACGCACGTAACAAACATCCAGCTACTAATGCAACCTGTGTAATGAGCCTGTCAAGGTTATGAAAAATAGTTGTATGTGCAAGAAGCAAATCCCAGCAAACTGTTCAATGTTCTCCTCTAGATTGCCATGGGGATTCCTCTTCACCGGATCAAAGATATCCGAGTTCTGTATAGTGCTTCTCCATGGGGAGATACACCCGTTGACTTCGAGAATTCAGCCCATGTCCCCAGTCCACGTGGTCATGTGATTGCTGCTCGTATCACCAGTGAGAATCCAGATGAGGTAAATGCTCCACTCGGTGTGTCACTTGTTCCCATCGTTCCTACGTCTAGTTCTAATACCCTAAAGTCATGTATGAACCCAGACTTCAAATAACAAATTCATGGACGATAAGGGAGAAATCCTTGTTTAGACTGTGGTTTAATATTAGGAGACACAATTATATACATGAAGACAAGTGAGATATTACAGAATATCTGTATGATCTAGCTATACCCTTACATTCAAGGAGTCCCTCTAGGTCCTGAAATGCCTTCATTACTGAACTGTTTGCTTTCACATGACAATATGTGACTATGGACTGCAGCTGTTAACAGTTGAAAGATTAATAACCACAGGCATATAGGACAGGAAACCTAGGTCCTTTGTCAAATGCAGCAAATTCTGTATTCTAGCATTGTCTTTGCTCTTGCTAGTGGCTTGACATTGAGCTCTTTATCCTTTCCTGGGTGTTCTTGGATGTCTCCCACCAGATATAGATGGAGCCTAGTCCTACGTAGCCTGCTTCTCATCGAAATGTAGAGGGGTGCAGCTAACCTGGGGTGTGCACCACTCCACTTGTTGACTGTTATTTTACTTTCATGCCTGCTGCTTCCAGCGCACTTGCTTGTTCCCTTTAGGATGTGTAACCACTGAATGCTTTTCCTTGCAGGGTTTTAAGCCCAGCTCTGGAACAGTCCAAGAACTGAATTTCCGCAGCAATAAGAATGTCTGGGGTTATTTCAGTGTCGCGGCTGCAGGGGGACTTCATGAATTTGCTGACTCTCAGTTTGGGCACTGCTTCTCATGGGGAGAAAATCGTGAAGAAGCCATCTCGTAAGTAGCTAGAATAACAGACCAAGTATGGAAAAAGCTCTCTTTGGGGACCTGGTCCTACAGGCACCGTGTCTGAAATTCCTGTAGGCGCCATGTGAGGTTTGGATTCATTTGTATGCAAATCCAGCTTCTTGGAAGGGATCTGTAATCCTTTGTGACAGCTATAATTTAGGACCGAGTGAACAAGGGTTTATGTCCAGCTCAGCTTCTTCTATTTGAGTGGCTTCTTGGAAAACAGTGGGGAGAAAATGCCTTGGGGAAGGAGACTGGGTTGGAATTTAAATCTGGAGGAGCTTTTCTGTTTGTGCTTTTTTGTGTGTGGTAACTTATGTCAGTTTTGCGTTGTAAATAGGCTTCCTTAGGAAAAAAGCCCTCAATGGTTTGACTGTTCTGTGTCTTGGATTTAAAACTCACCAAGTCAGTGTGAGGTCCATGTACAGAATTACTGTGTGAACTGATTTTTCCATCAAAGAGCGGGTAGAACTTGTTTTGTGTAGATGCGGAGTGTATGTGTCTGTGTGTGCCCATATAAAAATCAATCAGTGGGGCTATTCCTGGGTGGTAAGAGTTGAGGTTTATCAGGATGCAGAAAGCTGGGAATTAGACATGACGGTGAATTCTTTTGTCCTCCAGTAACATGGTGGTGGCTTTGAAGGAACTGTCTATCCGAGGGGATTTCCGAACCACTGTTGAGTACTTGATTAAACTGCTGGAGACGGAAAGCTTCCAGCACAACCGCATTGACACTGGCTGGCTGGACAAGCTCATTGCGGAAAAAGTTCAGGTACAGCCTTTCGCTTCAGAAGACTACGTTGCAGGGTGGGGAGAGGAAGAGGGGAGAGTAAATTGTTGTGGAAGAAAAGACCTTTCGCCCTCTTGAAAATTTGGTACTTGCTGGCTACAGAGCATAGAGACCTAACAAACAGAGGTTGTCTTCTGTAGGACCCCGGAAATAGTTCTGTTGAGCTCAGTTCTTGTCCCTTCACACCATAAGCATGAAGCAGTCTTAAAGTGCTTGAAAAGGCTCCTCATGTAAATAAGGATTAGGCCTGTCGTCTTCACTGGGAGTTGTGAACACATAGCTGTGAAACTCATGCAGAACCTCAGAATTAGGCTGAGTGAGAACAAAACTGAAATGCTTCCCTTTACACCACTGTAGAGGTGACCTGTCTGTTTGTGCCATTGCCTGCCTGGCAGTTTAAGTTAAAAGGAAGTTCAGCCTTGAATGGCACATGCGGCTGAGAGCATCGACCCTCTCAACTATGGAGAGGCCTGTAGAGGAAGAGGATGAAGCAGAAGGGTTTATGCATGTGGAATGACTGTGGCTTACCCTTCATCTTGTATTCTTTTCTTCTAGGCAGAGAGGCCTGATACCATGCTAGGAGTGGTGTGTGGGGCTCTGCATGTGGCTGACGTGAGCTTCCGTAACAGTGTCTCCAACTTCTTGCACTCTCTCGAGAGGTGAAATTGCTCTTGGTGGACAGTAGTGTTGACAGACAGATGTCATACATCATGAAGGCCATGTCTGCTTTGATTCAACCCAGGCTAGAAGAGACCTTATGCCTACTTTTGCCTGCCAGCTGTTCTCTGGCCGAGAGCATTGGTGTTGTTAGACCAGTACTTGACAGATGTCCAGGCGTGTCCCAAAAATCCCCTTGTCATTTACCCAAATTAGCGCACTTTTTGGCCGTTTCAGCAGAGGTGCCAAGGGCTGAGTGGGTCATAATTGTGAACCCTATTCTTGCTCTGGGATGTCAGAGTTGAAATTGACATGTTCATTCTCCAGAGCTGTAAATCAGCTCAAAGGTTTTTAGGAGAGCTCAGAAAATCCCCTTGTATTCACGTGTGCAGGAGCCCTTTTAGAAACCAGCCTCAGTGCCCTAATTCAGACTGTATCTCAGATGATGTGCATAATTCTTTTCTGAATGAGGCTTTTGGCATTGCCAGCCCTGTGTGCAGGGAGCCTCTACGCAGAGGAATGGTTACGAGGGAGTTGTAGAAAAAGGAATTGCTTTTAACCTGACCAAATTGTCCAGTAAATCTAATTTGGCATTACAGTGCAAACTTATCACCGTGAGGAAAGCAAGTGAGTGGATGGGGTGGGGATAGTAGGTCTGTGTTGAATGGAGGTGGCTGTTTGGGGTTTCTTTAAATGATGGATGTCTTTTAAGAAGCTGTGGTATAAGGGTGTTGCCAGTGCTATCTTCAAATGCTTGTGTGCAGCTCCCAGGGCCCTCTAGTGGCCATTCAAAGGTTCTGAAAGATAAGTCTTGCATGTTCCCATCTTCCAGGGGTCAGGTCCTGCCTGCTCATACTCTGCTGAACACGGTGGATGTGGAACTCATCTACGAAGGTCGGAAATATGTGCTGAAGGTACATCATGCAGCATGGAGTTTGTCCACTGGAACAGTCTTGCATGTGCTGGGCTTGAGGATGGTCTGGCTTTTCAGTGAATTTAATGAACAGGGAAATGCAAGTCAAATGCTGTGGCGGGACAATGGAAATGTGGGAGCTAGACAGAAGTTTTCTCTGCTCTGGCAGGCTTGGAGACTACAGCCACAGCCTCCCATGCTGAGACCCTCTGTCCCACTGCAGTTCCCTGTTGTGAGATCCCTGTCACACCTCCACATCACAAACACTTTTGATTTTAGGCTTTTAGTGCCTTGAGATCAGCATGCATGTGCTAAAGAGTGTTTCATTACAGGGGGACCTGGACATGCTGCCCATTATAAGACCTTGCATTCCCTTTATATCTGTGTTGCAGATATATGCAGATGCTGCCTCAAGTTGAATTTTTTTGGAAAAGAGGGAGCCATTTAGGAGTTGGGGTAAACTAAGATGTTTGCGGTGGGGATGTTTGCGGTGGGCAGGGGATGGTGGAACTGAGCTTGGTCAGCTGGAGGGCCATGTGGTAGAATTAAGGGTTTTAACCTTATACATGTGTTAGTCTGATTAGTCTGACGTTAAAACAAAAACAAAAGGAAGAAGAAACAATGACATGGAAAAAAACCCATGGTAAAAGAGCACCATTAAACTTGCAAAGCAGGGCCTTACAGACAGAAGCGTCCTTTGAGCCTTGATTCCTCCACAGAAGTAGGTGGAAAAATTGTACGTGCTGCACTATCTTTTAATTACACGATATACGTAAGGGGACTCAGTTAAGTTCTCCTTAAGGCTCTCCTTTATTCTGGCGTTTCCTAGCTGTTGCATGCGTAAGTTTGTAATGCTAATAACAGTCCTTTAACATGGGTTTATCTAAAGTAAAACCAATGACTGAACTTGCTTTATATTTTTTCGTTATTTACTGGGTGTACAGAGAGTCACTTACAAACTCCCTGCCTGTTGCTGCATTGCATACTGTGTCAATATTTCCACGTTTCCTTCGCGTGCTGCTCCATGTTCTCTTGGCCTCATAGGTGACCAGGCAGTCTCCCAATTCCTATGTGGTCATCATGAACAACTCCTGCGTGGAGGTTGACGTGCACCGGTTGAGTGATGGAGGACTGCTCTTATCCTACGATGGCAGCAGCTACACCACCTACATGAAGGAAGAAGTGGACAGGTAGCAACCTATGCTCTAAAGCAGCAGTTCTGAACCTTTTTCAGTCGACGTACCCTTTGGTCTCAGAGTGAGACTTCACGCACCCCCTTTCAATGGGAAATTAATTTTTTAGGCTCTTTGACCTGTGGTAGACAATGTAGGAAAAATATCTCATGTACCCCCTGATGAGGCTTCACGTAGCCCCTGGGGTCCATGTACCCCTGATTCAGAACTGCTGCTTTAAAGATCCTGTGTGGTCATCACCAGGCCTGCCTGTGATGAGAAGCTGGAACGGTCTAGCCAGTGTAAATGCCAGGTGTGCTGATTCAGTATCCAGACAGAAGCTTAGAGATGGTCTCCAGCCTCTGGAGCTTATACCACCCACCTGCTTTGGGTTCCAGGAGGTCATATCCTTTGGGCTGGCTCTAATGAAACCAGCTAAGAGTCTGAAAAGGTCTTCACATTTCCTGAATTGAAATAGGCTGTAGGCATCTAAATGCAATGTCTATTTGCAATGTGCCAGTTTTACCACAGGGGCGTGGATTCTTTTCTATTTCCCTCAGGGCATGGGAGGCGGTTGCAGCGTGGGAGGGCTGGTGAGCATTTTTCCCAGCTAGCACTTTGATGTTACGACAGCTCCAGCTATCAGTAACATGAGTCTTGGCCTGTGCAGAATTTACCAGGTTGAGAGTCTACCAGCAGCCGATTCCAGCAGTGGGCAGTACGTACTGACTTGGAGGAAAGCAGATAAATCACTCTCATGCAGGCTGGGGATAGATGGTCATTCCTCCCCAACCTGCAGACCTCTACTGATAGCGTTATCTCGATCTTCACTTGCAGAATCATAGCTCTGCACTCAGGGACAGCAGCTGTGGTGTTTCTTTAATTTGCCTGGCTGTGGGTTTCTTCTTGCCATGTTCTTCCCCTAGTGTGAGATTCCAGTGCAGTTATTCCTCACCTCCTTTCCTAGATATCGGATCACCATAGGTAATAAGACCTGTGTGTTCGAGAAGGAGAATGACCCATCCATCCTGCGCTCGCCCTCTGCTGGGAAGCTCATCCAGTACGTGGTGGAGGATGGAGGACACGTGTTTGCAGGCCAGTGCTTTGCGGAAATAGAGGTAAAAAGGCCGAGTTGGCTGTAGGCTCTGGATCTGCCCAGGAACCAAGCTGAGTGGGAAACTTAGGACTGCTGTGAAACTTGAGTGGAAAACCAGCAGATTAAATAGGGATCAGTTGGGGAAAAGTTTCTGATGTTCTTTCATAACATTCCTGCTCTAAACCGCCTCTTTTTTACCATGTCTACTCAGGAGGCAGAAAAAAGGGTAGCTGGGTTAGGCTGAGACAGCTTTGCAGATAAATCAGAACATCAGGGAATCTTTCAATGAGAAGCCAGCCTTCTCAGCAAGGTCCGGTGGCAACCAGAGTGCATGGGAGCAATGGCCACCACTTTCCCATGGACTGGCCAGTGGGAAATGACCCACAGCAAGCTAGGAGAGGCAGCAATCTTTTCTCGGAGCTGCCAGAACAGAGGGCAGCAGTCTTAGCAGGTCTTGTGGCAATTGAGGTGATGCTGATCCATACCCAGGGGCCAGGACTCTGAGCTAGGATTAGGCAAGGAGTGAAGTTGTCTCTACCCAGATGATTAGTGATTGAATGAGTTGATGAATTGTCCCTCCTCCCTTCCTCCAGAGATTACTTAACTCTTGAAGAGAGGGAAGTTAAGCAATTCCTTAGTCACAGTGAGCAATGGCCAGGGCTGATATAGGAGAGCAAGGGCTCAAATGAGAGGTGAGGGCGTGGAAGCGAGTAGCAGCGATTAAACCAGTGCGAGGGAAGGGAGGGTGAGTCTGAAAGAGGGGGGATTAAGCTGTGCGTTATAGGGAAGTGTAGGAGACCATATCAAGCAGTAGATCTGTGCTGTTTGTGTAAGAGCATCTGTGTTGTAACGCAGCTGTGGCTGATGGCTGTGCTACATTCTGTATCGAGAGCAAAGGTTTACCCATATCCTTCTGTTCCAAATTCAGAGGCCCCCAACTCTTGACCTAAAGGAGAATTTTCATTAGCAAAGGGCAGCACAGGGCTGTGACTCAACACGGTTGTTCTAATGCCCTCCACTAGAAGCCAATACATTACTGTAGCTCCTGTCATCGATTCTCCTGCTTGTGACCTTTAGGCTGTGACAGATGAAGCAGGCTGCTTCAAGCTGGAGTCATCAGTGTAAAGCCTTTTATTTATTCATGGACTCCAGAAGAGTTGAGATTCTTCTCTTGGCTGAGTCTGGATTGCTGTTACTCTACTTTATGGCCTGGCCCTTTGCTCTGGTTTTCACCTCAGGCCTCCTGAGGTGCTTTCCCAGCATGAGTCTGTGCTTTCAGCCTTGGTTGAATGCAGAAGACTTGCCCTCATTGAGCTGTCTGTGGTGCGGAATAGCAGCTGCTGAAAGGTGGAATGCAAACGAAGCAGGGAATCTGGAAGCCAAGTATGTGATCTGTCTTCTTGCTGCAGGTGATGAAGATGGTGATGACACTGACAGCAGCAGAATCGGGCTGCATCCACTATGTCAAACGCCCTGGGGCAGCACTGGACCCTGGCTGCGTGATTGCCAAGCTGCAGTTGGATGATCCCAGCAGGGTTCAGCAGGTAGGAAGTGACAGAAGAGAGCCATTGGGTTCAGGCCTTGCCCTGGTTTTTATAGTAGCACTGCACTGCAAACTGACTGCTCCTGTGTCCTTAACCGTCTTCACGGTAGGGTCTTCATCATGCTTAGAGGGCTGGAGTGAAAAGAGAGCTATTGCTATGGTGATGAGAACTACAGTGGAGTCAGGGGACATCCACCTGTAAGAGGTGGGGAGAAGTTATCAGTATCCAGATGCAGTTCCTTGTTCTGCGCTGGATTCACCGGAAGCTTTCAGTGAGATCTCAATATTCCTATATCTAAAGAATGAGATCAGAATGTGTAAGTCTGGAAGAAGCTGGCAACCTATTTTGTAAATTCAGTCATTTGGAGATCCAACAGAAATGACTGCCTGTTATCCAAAAGGATTTTCCACCTGGGGATCCTCTTGCCATGAGTATAATGTTTTCCCAGTGCAGTTAGGCTAGTGGATTTCCAAACACACAAAGGAGACTGGTGAGAGTAGCAAAAATGATTCTATTTGCTGGTGCTGTGTGGGAGGCTTGGAGGCACTAAATCCACCGGTAATAATACCTTCACAGGCTGAGCTGCACACTGGCACCTTGCCAAAGATCCAGAGCACAGCACTTCGAGGCGAGAAGCTCCATCGTGTCTTCCATTACGTCCTTGATAACCTGGTCAATGTGATGAATGGATACTGCCTGCCGGAGCCATACTTTGGCAGCAAGGTAACTGTCATTTCTTCCAGGCAGAGGGCAGTTTTCATGCAAATATGGTGGAGCGTGAACTGGACTCGCAAATGCTGCTGCCTTTGTGAACTGCTTCTCTCTCTAGTATCCCCTTCCCTGTACCCCTGTTTACCAGAAAGCTGGAGTGTAGAAGGGGGAAGTGTCCATTTTTTGCCATCTCTGGCAAAACCAAATGTCTGGAAGAAGAGATGAGTATGGGCTTGGAGGACTGTGGCCTCTGTTAGCAGCCTAATATACGTGAGCTACTCCCAGTCGGCTACTTCAGCAGTCCCAGTGGGAACAGGGAGAGAAAGGTGAATTCCTTGCCAGCAGCTGCCTTGAGCATTACCTTCAAGGCCATTAGAGCATGTGTGGTGGAACGTGGTTCTGCAGCTTTTCCTGTGTCCCCAAGGTCTCCACTAATCTGTAGTCCCTGGACCAGCCCAGCTCCTTGTTTGGATCAAACAGCCATCCCACTTTGCAGCACTGATAAAGTCTCATGGAACCAGTCTTCCTTTTTGCTCCATATTGTATCTCTTTTCCCCAAAACTTGTCATTACACCGACTTTTCTCTAGGTGAAGGATTGGGTTGAGCGGTTGATGAAGACCCTGAGAGACCCATCTTTGCCACTCCTGGAGCTTCAGGACATCATGACCAGCGTCTCTGGGCGCATCCCACCCAATGTGGAGAAGTCCATCAAGAAGGAGATGGCCCAGTATGCCAGCAACATCACATCCGTTCTCTGCCAGTTTCCCAGCCAGCAGGTAATGAGCAGCTCATTTTGATAGGACATATAGCTCATTGTGGGCTCAAAGGAAAACGCCTTTAAATTATTAGATGAGTTTGAGCCAGGAAACTAATAAATTTGGGCCTGAAAAGTTTGGTAGGGAAGACACCATGTATAACAGTCTGTGGAGACTGAGAATTGAACCCTGGATGTTCAATATCAAACATACAAGTCTTGACCACTTGAGCTAAAGGGGTAACTCCTCTCTGTGCGAGTAAGATTGTGGGGTGGTTTTAGAAATGCCCAAGATGGCCTGAAATGAGCTAGCTTAGGTAATGCAAACAATATAGCCTCTGTAGCATAAGGTCTGGCATGGGCTTTGCTGCTTAAAACAATATATTGGCCCTTATTGGAAGTCTGCGTGCCATTGCCAGACTGTTTCCAGCACTTAAACTAGCTCAGGTATCTCAGTATCAAACTGTAGGCTCCACTGTAGACATACCTCTTACATAGGCTGTTGCAGCTGTGATGCCAGGCCATTAGAGGAAGATGTGAATATGGGCCCTCAGAGACCTGAGCTTAAACATGCTCTAGTTTTACTACAAAGTTTTGAACTTGCTGAAAGAATGACTAAGTGATATTTTGTGGCATGTGCAATGCAAGTGTGGCAGGGCTAGCACAGTGGCATGGCAGCCTCTCTGCTCTCTCTGGGTAAGAACTGGTTCTCACTGAGACTCTCACCTGCCACAACTTGATAGAAAGGAATTCATAGAATTGACTTTGCGAGAAATGATGCCTCGCTTGGTCTGGGCATCCACCCTGTCTGGCTTTCACAGTCTTTGTGCCTGTTTACTTGACCCTTATGGAGTCCAGATTGGGAGCTCCTTCACCTCTACATTCCCACCACAGGCCTCCATTGTTACTGTCCCAGAGGATTCTAGCTCTGGTCATAGCATTTACCACACACCAGCCTGCTAGGCTAGCCCAGAGAATCTCTTAACAGTAGGTCCCTGGCTTTATGCCAGGAATCCCTGACAGTCCATTTCCTATGAAAACAAAGAGGAGAGGGCAGTTGACTGCCTCTCACCCGCTTCCAGCTTGTGTCCCACCGTCTGTCATCCGGGGGCCTCTCCATTCACTTTCGGCGTCCTTTTACCTTCACCCCTTGAGGGATCCAGCCAGTCAGGGCTAGTGCTCTTGGTCCAGCTGCAGCTCATTATCCATGTGGAAGGACTGACGTAGGGTAAGTTGGGGAAGGGCTTCTTGCCACCTGGAACACAGTGTTCACATGGCCTCAGCACCTAGCTGGTACCATTCCTGTCCTGGCCAGGGCTTCCCCCACCAGCAGCCAGGTGTCTTCTCCCCGGACTTCTGGGCTGCCCCACACAAGTGGTGAGCCTGGCAGCATGATGCCCAGCATTCTGGCCTTGGCATCAGTTGCTGGGAGGGACCTTTGCCAGCGCACAGGTAATGGAGAGGGTGTGAGCGGGGGGATCTTTCTTTCTAACCCCTTCACCCTGTTACAAAGAGTAACTAAATGAACCAAATATTCCTTCCTGGCCTCTAGAAAGGGTTCCTGAGCTAGTTCTGGCATTAAAGATGTTATCTGATGGCTGCAGGGTCTCAGAGAAATATCTCCCTAGTGCTTGCTATTGCTCTGTAGGTTGACTCATGAGATTTCTTTGATGTCTTTGGTGGCATCAGAGGTTGGTCTTTGCTGGAGTCTGGATGCTGAGTGTGGCCACAGACTCTGGCAAAATTGCCCTGTCTGTGTTAGTGTTCACCTCCTAGACCTTCCTCTCCAGGACTGAGATCATTGTATGACTGCTTTCTCATTTGCTCTCTCTTTCAGATTGCCAACATTTTGGACAGCCATGCAGCCACGCTGAATCGCAAATCTGAGCGGGAGGTCTTCTTTATGAACACTCAGAGTATTGTTCAGTTGGTGCAGAGGTGAGCTATTTGCCAGACCTCATCCTTTCTCCAGTCCTCCTTTCCCCCCCCCCCCCCCCTTTTTTAGTCTCCTCCAAAAGGCCAAATT